GGGCTGGCTGGCATGTGGTGCTGGGGGATTGAACCGCGGTCCCTGTGCTTTGCTAAGCTTGTTCTAAGTAGGTGCTTTAGACCACTGAGCCATGTCACCAGCCCCAGCCCAGGCTATTCTTGAACTCAGGGCAGCCCTCCTGCTTCAGCCTCCTAGGTGCTAAGATTATGGGCATGTCCCACCATATTCTGCTGCTCTGTAGAGAGGATATGTTTTTGCCTGTGTTGGTCTTGATCTCATAGACTCGTGTGTTCCTGAGGAGCTAGGATTTACAAGTATGTACCACCACATTCTCAGTTCGTGTGTAATTGTGTGTGTATTTGTGTGTGTGTATATGTACAGTGTCTAAAATGTAGACTTCAGGGGCCGGGGAGATGGCTCAGCAGGATAAGCGCTTGACTGGCAAACGCAAGGATCTGAGTTCAATCCCCGGTTCCGCAAAAAAAAAAAGTAGACTTCAGGAAAAGACAAAGTTGCATAAAAATATACAGTGGACATTGATTTCTGTAAATGGACTGCTTTATCTTCATAAACATTAAGATTTTCATGATGTCTCAGTAAATTCAGTATTAAAATATACAAGTTTTTCATCTATCTTTTTTTTTTTTTTTTTATTACATTTATTTATTGTGTGTGTGTGTGTGTGTGTGTGTGGCCAGCTCAGCCCACCAGGGGGCGGGGCTGGCTGGCATGTGGTGCTGGAGGATTGAACCGCGGTCCCTGATGCTTTGCCAAGCTTGTTTCAAGTAAGTGCTTTAGACCACTGAGCCATCTCTCCAGCCCTTTCATCTATCTTATCTGTCTATTTTAATAATCCCATTGTAGCTGGAATCCCTAGAAATTAGAAGATAGTTTACCCAGGGATGGAGGTGCCTACTTGTAATCCTAGTTCCTTGCAAGGCTGAGGCAAGAGGATTGCTTGTTTGAAACTAGCCTGGGCAACTTAGGATATCCTTTCTCAAGAAAAAAAGAAAAGGAAAACACATACAAGGAAATGAAAAAATAGGGGGCCGGGGAGATGGCTCAGTAGAATAGGTGCTTCCCTGGCAAGTGCAAGGGTCAGAGTTCAGTCCCCGGTTCCAAAAAAAAAAAAGGAAAATGGAAAAATAAAAAAGGCTGAGGATGTTAGCTCAGTGGTAGTGTTTGCCTAGCATGTAGGAAACCTTGCTTAAATCCCTAGTACTACAAAAGCAAAAAAGATAGGTCAACTCTTGTCAATACCTTAGTGATTTAAAATAATAATAGTACAATGCCTTTGTACAGTAAAACAAATATGGGGTCCTTGAATATATTTGTCTTTTTGAGACAGGATCTGTCTATGCAGTGCAGACTGGCCTTGAGCTCAATTTGTAGACCAGGCTGGTATTGAATGCAACGATTCTCCTGCCTTAGTCTCCCCAGTGCTGGGATTACAGGCCTGTGCCACCATGCTGGGGGCCTTGAGTGTGTTTACTAGGACTGGAATTACTTGAAAAACGTCATTTTGTAGAACAATTAATTAATTAATTAATTAATTGTACCAGGGATTGAATTTAGGTCCTTATACTTGCCAGCCAGGCTTAAGCCTCTAAGCTATCTTCTCCCTGGCCCCTTGTAGAAATCTATTCCAGGTTTGAGTCCACATCTTGACCAATTTTTAAGTCAGAATTTTCCTTGTAGAGGCCTGTGTTTGTAGTTTGTGCTGTGAATTTCGTGGTTGTGACTGGCACCAGGACTAGGGATTTCCTTTATTTGGTGGAATGGCTCTCATATCACATCTTAGGATGTATTTGGATGTGTACATATCACTTAAAGTTTCTTTTTTTTTCAGTTTCCTTTTCAGAAATTTGAGGGACTGGTGAAGGATTGGTATTCTGTTAAAGGCAAATGGAATGAAATTTGCTGAATAAATTTCTAGGGATTTATCACTAAGTTCTCTTAAAAAATTTCACCCCTCTTTGGAAGAGCTTTATTCTCATTCAATGTCTGGACAAATTTGATGCTTGCCAAAAATCTCTTAACTTTATATTTCTTTGCAGATAATTCCTGTGGATAAATTAGTAAAAGGAAAGTTTCAGGACAATTTTGAATTTGTTCAGTGGTTCAAGAAATTTTTTGATGCAAACTATGATGGAAAAGAGTATGACCCTGTAGCTGCCAGACAAGGTCAGGAGACCGCAGTGGCTCCTTCTCTTGTTGCTCCAGCTCTGAATAAACCGAAGAAACCTCTTGGCTCGAGCAGTGCAGGTAAAAAACAAAACAAAACAAAAAAACACAGCCCCAGACATCACATTCACATGTAATATTGCAAGTATTCTTTTTATTTATATTGAATCATAATTTTGGGGTGGGAGGTGCAGGGGGTTGAATCCAGGATCTTAGACTTGCTAAGAAACTGTTGTGGTGCTGAACTGTATCCCCAGTCCTCAGTCAGAACTTCTTAAAGAGATACAGGTTTGGGATCTTTAGAAGCCTAATCCAGTGCATTTGATGAGAGCATGGATTTTGGGACAAGAAAGATTATGTGTATGTGTGTGTTCTCTGCAGCCCTGAATGAGTCCTTTTATACTGCCCCACAGTTTCCTCTTTAAAGTGGGAAGGTCTGCTGGAGTTACTGTGTGCTGTTTTGCTGAAGTGCTCTCATTTAGATGGATTAGAGGGCTAGTTCACTTAGGGGAGCTTTCATGGCACCTGGAAGGTAAGTTACAATCAGGCTTGAGTTCCCAGGCCCTGAAGGATTTTTCTAGGTCTCTCCGAGCCCACTCTAGGCTGTCTTCCAGCTTCCTGCACTTGTGATTTCTTTCCCTAGAGCTTGGGCTGGTGAGCAGTGGGGATGGGCTGTTTTTAGAGTACTTGAGAAGTTACTGGTTGGATAGTTTTCCCAGAATATGTTTGCATTAGTATATTCACAGAGCATATACAGAGTAAATGGTCTACAGATTGTAATTTCTCCTTTCCCTAAATTTAGCAAGAACTGGTGTTAGTTAAGGTCTCATAGTACCAGGAGAGAGGCTGATCCAGTTGGTGGGTAGAAATGGTTGGTTGATTTTTTTTTTTTGGGGGGGGGGTGTCTGATATTGGGGATTGAACGCAAGGTGTTTTTTGTATTGAGCAGTATCCCCAGTCCTTTATATTTTAGAGACAGGGTCTCAGTAAGTCACTAACAATTTTATTGTGATATATTTAGTACGCTGTATACTTTATGTGTTTGAAATGCTTAATTTAAGTTGGGCCCAATGGTGTAATCTCAGCAGTTTGGGAGGCTGAAGGAGGATTTCAAGTTAGAGACCTAGTCTTAAAAAGGGCTGATGTAGCTCAGTGGTAGAATGCTTTTCTAGCATGTGTGAGGCTGTGGGTATGTTGCTTGGTGCTACAAAAAAAGTTGATGTGTCTGTTTTTTGGCATACCACAATGTGCTTTATAACTTTAATCATTCCAAGAAGACACCTCTCATGTGCTCAGTAGCAGTTGCCTCTCATTTCATCTCTTCTCTGTCTCCTTAGGCAACTACTATCTGAATTTGCTTGTTTTGGACATTTTGTGTAGTAAATTAAGCCATAGAATATGTGGTCTTTGTGTCTGACTTCTTTTACTTAGCATGTTTTTAAGGTTCATCCATGCTATGGCATTTACTATTACCTTTTTTTTGAGACAGGATCTCATTTAGGCTGGCCTTGAATTTGTGGCAATCCTGCCCCAGCTGCCTGAGTGCTGGGATTACAGGCTTGTTTTTATCTTTTAAAAATTTTTTGGCTGTTATGAGTAATGCCACTAAGATTCATACATAATTTCTGTCTGGACATGTTTTTATTTCTCTTTGAGCAGAATTCTTGGGACATACTTTACCTGTGTTTAACCTTTTGCAGAGCTGTCTCTTTTCAAAGTAGCTGAATGAGGTACAGTACCATCAGCAGTAAGGAAGGCTTCCAGTTTCCCCATATACTTTGTTTAGCTATTCAGAATGCCAATTGCATAGGTAACCTTGTGCATTTCATTTTTCAGATTCTATTAGCAATTGAGTGGAGAGTTGTAATAATCATTTAGTCTAGGAGCCACCCACAGGAAACAGTTCTTAGTCTGGGCAAAAGGTTTGTGATTGTAAATTATGGGTGTCAGGAAGATTAGATCCAAGCCTGGCATGATATACAAGTATTACAATTGAATAAGTGAATCATGACTGATACATTTATCTTGAGGTAATGCATTCTTGATTATTTTAATTATCTTGCAGACAGGTTGGCTACTGCTTTGTCTGCTTAATAAATAGCACTAAATACTGAGAGAAATCTATAATAGAGATGCTTTTCTCCTTGCCCTTCTAACACCTTCTAAACGGTGAGAAGTTTTGATATACAGTGATAAGAGCAGGTTCTGCCAGCTTTGTGGGCCCCTTCCCTGTGTTAATCCAAGTGTGAAGTTAAGAATTAGGGATTTGCTTTTCAGCTGGGAAATAGACTGTTCCAGCAGCTGGAATTGTGATCTGCTTTGGGCACACGTTTTGCCTTTGGTCTGTGAAGCTGCCCTACTTGTGGAGTTAGTTGGAGCTGTGTTAAGGTAGATGATCCATATGGAGCAAAATGACCGTGCCTCTTCCAAAGAACAGAGATCAGTTGACTGCAGTAGAGTAGAGACCCCCAGGAAGTCTTAGTCTTAGCATGAAAATAGTATGCTATAAACTGATACTTAACTCTTCTAACAGGATAAAAACCTCTTTAGGTAAATGTTGGGTGCTGTCTTATGTGTTAGGGCTGACTAGCACTGGTACTCTTCACTAGATGTGTGGGAAGCAGTTGATTGCTCTCTTCCCTTGATGTGTCAGTTTATGCTTATTTCTGAAGTTTCTCAAAAAAAAAAAAAAAAAAAGCCTAATCTTTTCTCAGCTCCACAGAGACCCATTTCAACCCAGAGAACTACTTCAACGCCTAAGGCTGGTCCAGGTGTGGTGCGGAAGAATCCTGGTGTGGGCAATGGGGATGATGAGGCCGCTGAACTGATGCAGCAGGTAGGTACCTTCTGTGTTTAGGATTAGAATCATTGGGGTTTTCTTGGCTGCAGTGACTAGGGGAGGCTTATTTTTTATTTTTATTTTTTTTCCTTGTGATACAAGGTCTTGCTATGCAGCTCAGGCTGGCCTTGAGCTCATTTTGTAGCCTAGGCTGGTCTCCAACTTGCAACAATTCTCTTGTCTCATCTTGTCCTTGTAGAGAAAGACCTGCATTGTTTGCAGGCTAAAACAGTCCTTGAAACTTCTGTTAGCATTTGTCCTGTTACCCCTTGACAGCAATGTGGATGGGAGAATTTTGGTTAGGGGAGGAGGACAGGTCAGGCTTTTCTGCCTCAATTGGTAGATACCTGTGTGTGGAAATCAAAACCCTGTTGGATGTTTCTAGAGTGCTCTTAGACCTAGTTACATCTGGCTCCAGAGCCAAGGTCAAGTTAGTCACTGCTCACTAGGGAATTGAGGAAGTTGCTCCTTTCTTGCAACATTGGAAATTGACATTATTCATCACAGTTATTCTGGGCAAAATGCTTCTAAGCATTGGAGAGAATTCTAAAGTTTGAAAACCTGGCCTGGGCCTTGAAGTAGTTTCTATTATAGGTGGAGAAGGTTTACTAGTGCCAACCTGAGACCAAATCCCCGAATGAAGGCTATGGGAAGCAAAAGCCACAGTCTTACATGCGTCAGGGTGCTTGAATCTGGGAAGATTTCCTGTTCAGAGGCATGTGATCAGAATCAGCTGGTTTGCATGACCAGTACAGTGGAGCTTGAGAGCTGAGGTGGGGGAGGGTTGTGGTCTTGACGATGTGGTTTGGAACTATCTGTCTCTACTGTAGAACTCAGGAGGCTAAGGACGCAAGTTCACTGATCCTCAAAGACTGACCAAATATCTACTTAACACAGAAGTACTTAGTCTTACAGTCTTTTTCTTTCTTTCTTTTTTTTGGTGCAGGGTCTCACTACACAGCCCAAACTCGTAGTGATCCTCCTGATTTCTGCTTCCCTAGTGCTGGGATTATAGGCATGTGCCACCATGCCCAGACTCCATCACTGGCTCAGCACACCTGGGGGCGGGGCCAGCACAGCATGCGGAGCCAGGGATCGAACCCTGGCTCCTACACTTACCTAAGCAAGCACTTAGTCTGCTGAGCTATACCGCTGGCCTTTCCTTTTCTTTTTTTTTTTTTTTTTGGTGGTACTGGAGATTAAACCCAGGGCTTTTGCACTGAACTACATCTCCAGTCTTTTTTTTACTTTTTGAGTTGGGATCTCATCAGGTTGCTAATGTGCCTAGATTGGGCTTGTGATCCTTTTGTGCTGGCCTCTTAAGGTGCTGGTATTATAGGTGTGTGCTACTGTGTTCACCTTTTTTTCCTCCCTTGATAGTGTGAGACACCAGGGCTTCTCCAGGGTGCTAATTGTCCAGTCTATTACTGACTCTTGGTTCATTCACATGATTTGTGTGTCCTTGAAAGCATTTGAATTTGTAGCCTTTGACAAATGTGGGAAATGGAGCCAAATGGTCAGTAGGCTAAGAGAACAGAACTATGTTCTGCCCAAATTGCCTTGTAGTATTCATGCTTGGGCTGGAAAAGTTTACTTTAAATGAGATGTTTTGCACTTTGAAGATTGTACTGTTTTATATTTTAAGTCTGGATTATATTTTAGTATTAGCAGCCTATGCCAGGGGTGGTGGTGCACACCTGTGAGCCCAGCTCCCCCAAGGCTGAGGATCACAGAATTCACCCTGGGCTATATAGAGAGTTAAAGATCAGCCTGCACTACAGTACAGTGAGGTCTGTATGAAAACAATAGCAACTTGCAGCCCAACTCACTCCCACTGGCCATGTCAAATAACCCATATATGTCTTGTGGCTCCTGTTTTGACCATTGCAAATCCAAAAAATTCTTCCTAGGTTTCTTAGGTTAAGTGACATTTTATGGACTGCTAGCTACAAGTTTTTTTTGGTCCTGAAGATGAAACCTGTGGCTCTACCAGGGAGCCACAGTCCCAACTTGGGTACTTCTTGACTGCAATTGTAAGAGGAAGCTTTCTTCCATCTTACAGGGGTACTGAACTCAGTTGTGTTGGGTTGTTTATCTTGCGGAGGGGAAGCTACATTGGCTCTTTGCTGCTGTTTTTGCAGTTGTATGTTCAGAAGGTTGGACTAGATTTTCTGTGGGGCCTTCTGGCACCCCCTGACTTTCCTGCCAGAGTAGTCCTTAGCCCTGCACCTTTGGTTTCCTTTGGCTTTCCATGCCCTTGTCCCAGCCTGTAGTTTGAGGGCTTGGAGGGTATTCCATGCACTTTGCATTTGGTGAGAGTTATATTGAATTTTTTCATCATAGATTTGAATACAATGGGATAAAGATATGTTAGGGTTTGAATACATAAAGGACCTTTGTTCTCAGCTAGATTTCTTAGCTAAGTACTGAAATTTATTTTTTACTGTCTTTTTGCAAATCAGAGCACATTGGGGATCAGACCCTTTTTTTCTTTTTTTTTTTAACTTCCACATGCAACCAGAATTGGACTGGATTAACAGTCCCCTGGTAGGGACTCAGTTTATGATTATCTTTTAGCTTTGCTGTTCTGGGTTATGGATTATATTACTATATTTGTCTGTGGATTTTACTTCTATACAATATTTGTCTCAGGCTTAATTTTTTTGTCCTTGTCCTTTCTCAGTTTCTGAGAAGGTACTGTTTGTCTCAAAGTGTGGTCATGTAGGCAGTCCATTCCTGGGAACTGTTATGGTCAACAATATGTACGTGACCAATAAGTACATATTGTTTATATCTGGGGCTGAAAAAAGTTGACATGGGGCCGGCGAGATTTCTCAGTGGACTAAAGTGCCTGCTCAGGCAAGCTTAGGCAAGTGCAGGGACCAAAGTTTGATCCCTGGCACCACATGCCACGCCAGCCCCGCCCCCAGGGCGGGCTGAGCCAGTTAGAGTTCAGGCATGGTGGTGCACACCTGTAATCCCAGTGCTGGGGAGGCTGAAAGGAGGAGGATCACGAGGAGTCGGAGCTGCATAGTGAGACCCTGTAACAGCCAAATACATTTAAAGAAGAAAGAAAGAAAAACAGAAAATTGACATTAAACTGAACTGAGTTTTGTCTGTGTTTTGGTTTATCAAAGATCACATCACCTCTAGGGTTAGAAGATTGTGTACTATTTTATTGGTACATTAATGCTGAGTGTTGTCTCACCCTTTTTAATATCTTGTATAGGTCAATGTATTAAAACTTACTGTTGAAGACTTGGAGAAAGAAAGAGATTTCTACTTTGGGAAGCTAAGGAACATTGAATTGATTTGCCAGGAGAATGAAGGGGAAAATGACCCTGTATTGCAGAGGATTGTAGACATTCTCTATGCCACAGACGTGAGTGTTGAATTTCTTTCCATTTTGCCTCTTAAGAGAAAATAAGCTTATTCTAGTTGATTTCAGTAAACTGTTGATGCTTGTATTGCAGTGCAGCTTTCAAATGACTTAACCTTTGATCTTTTAAACTTAGCCTAAGAGTACCTCTGCCCAGCTTCAGTCTCTGCCTTGAGGTTTATGACCCTTTGAGGAAGGAGTAGGACAGAGAGGTGGCTGCTTTGCTCACCTTCAATAGTTTGTAGCCACAAATATGCCACAAAATGGTTTTAGCCAGAAGAGCCCTCCATCCCCATCCCACCGCCTATAGCTTGAACCCCTCAGCTAGTATGTTTCTGGTCCATTTATCTGAAGTCCAAGCATGTTTCTGCTTGTTTTTTGATGTCTGCTGCCCTTAATTGTCAAAGGAGACAACTCTCTAGGAGAGTGTGGATTCCCTCAGAGTACTTTGTGATCACAAAAAGCTTGGCATCTGTGTTTATTGCACAGCTATATTTGTTAGTAATCATGACATGTTTAGCTGATTAGAAAGACTATGTTTTCTAGATTTAGAAGCTGATAATCTGGTTTATGTCAACTATGCAGTCGTGTTTGTAGTTCTATATACCTAGCAAGTTCTGAAGGCTCAGACTACAAACTATTTGTACTGTATATAGCACTACATAAAGTAATAATCTGTTATTACTGTTCTCTGATTAAGATAGATGACTGAAAAGCTAGTAAACTTATAAAATAAATTAAATAAATCTTTAGGACTTGTTCTGTGCTACATGATGAAGATAATAAAGATGATAAAGATACAGGAGTCTTCGCTCTAGTCTGAGTTATTTTTTAATTTTTAATTTTTTGAGTTATTTTGATGGATACACATCTTAAGTAAGTTAAACAGTAGAAGCTTAGTTAAAAACAAAATAAGATGATGATTGAAGGAGTGGTACAATTTTCATGATAGAGTAGTGGGTCCGTTCCCTGCTGTGAGTACTTGTGGAATGCCAGAGAGTTGGTCTGAAGTGAAAGTCATGAATCTACTCTTCACTTGCACATTTACTTTTCCCATGTCACTAAGTTTGGGTTAATTTTGGCTATGTAGGTATTTTGGTTAAACATAGTTCTTGTGTATAACCAGAGGAATGTATAAAGGAAAAGCTAATAGTTTGAGATTAGATGGTACGTTACTGAACTTTATGGGAGACTTCAGGGAATTTGGACAACTTTTCCTGTTCGTTCATCGTCTCTCCCTTCCCCCTTTTCTGATATGGTCTCTGTAGTTCAGGGTAGCTTGTATAGCATTTGGGAGGCCGAGGCAAGACAATCATTGCCAATTTGAAGCCATCCTGGGCTACATAATGAGTTCAAGGCCAACCAGGGCTACATAATAAAACTCTTTCAAAAAACCATTAAAACAAATGAACCAAAAAACTTGGAGGTGTAGTTGACATATGGTTGCACACATTTTAAATGTGTGTTTGATGGTGTGTGAAATAGAACATACACATTCATCAGTTCAAAAATTTTAAGGGTGAATTTGATGTGCTTAGTTTTAGCTTTATATAAGATGTGATTAAACCATCCAGAAATAAAATAATTATCACCTGACCTGTGTGATTTAAGAACTAAGTGTGATAGAGACAAGTGTGCTTACTTTGAAAGGCTTTAACTGAGAAAAGTAGAAACTGGTCATTCAGGGTTAAGTAACAGCTTTCTCCACTCACTTTTCCGTTGCAGGAAGGCTTTGTGATACCTGATGAAGGGGGCCCACAGGAGGAGCAAGAAGAGTATTAACACCATTGACCAGCAGAGCAGCATCGGAATTCTTCTCTCCAAATCATGTGCTTAACTGTAAAATACTCCCTTTTATTATTCTTAGAGGATTCACTGGTTTCTTTTCAAATGCAAAAAGTACCTCTTTTTAAAAGTG